TTTGTTGCTCTCGAAATATGCAAGTTCCGATATTGTTGCTTGCAAAATAAATATAAATAATGGCGGAAAGCCGCACAGCGTGCAACAAGAGTGAACCATCAAAAAAAAATTTATTGCTCGCTTAAATTTGATACTGACATATTGTCTGAATTTGTTGCTCTCGAAATATGCAAGTTCCGATATTGTTGCTTGCAAAATAAATATAAATAATGGCGGAAAGCCGCACAGCGTGCAACAAGAGTGAACCATCAAAAAAAAATTTATTGCTCGCTTAAATTTGATACTGACGTATTGTCCGAATTTGTTGCTTGCAAAATAAATATAAATAATGGCGGAAAGCCGCACAGCGTGCAACAAGAGTGAACCATCAAAAAAAAATTTATTGCTCGCTTAAATTTGATACTGACATATTGTCTGAATTTGTTGCTCTTGTAAGTTTGCACGCTGTGTGGCTTTCCGGCATTATTTATACTTATTTTGCAAGCGACAAATTCGGAACTTGCATATTTCGAGAGCAACAAACTCAGACAATACGTCAGTATCAAATCTAAGCGAGCAACAAATTTTTTTCTGATGGTTTACTCTTGTAAGTTTGCACGCTGTGCGGCTTTCCGGCATTATTTATACTTATTTTGGGAAGTATTGCAATGAGAGATTCAGGACACAAAAATAAGAGAAAAAATTCATATAAACATATGTCCGATATAACCGTGTTTTCAAGTTATAGCTTGTGTTATTTTTCAACAGAATTAAGATAATTACGGTTACAGGAAGTGCTCAAAATGACTACCTCTAACTTGAATACAGGCTTCAACACGTCTCATCATAGATTGTCTGACTTTTTCAAAAATTCCGGGTATTGCTTGAATTTCCCGGCAACCATCTTCAACACGTTAACGAAGTATCTCGACGTTGTCAATGGGTGTTTTGTAAACAATGGATTTTAGATGCCTCCACAAGTAATAATCGAGTGGATTCAGGTCTGGAGAGCGAGATGGCCACGTAATAGGACCAGCAAGGCCTATCAATCTATCAGGAAACCGTTCATCCAAATAACGTTTGGATGTCTATTGAAAAATAAAACAAGCTATAATTTGAAAACAAGGTCATATCGGATATATGTTTATATGAACTTTTTCTCTTATTTTTGTGTCCTGAATCCCCCATTACAATACTTCCCACTTTTTAGGCTACACCCTGTATATTGTTCCGCTAACTTAATCTTCCTTTAGCGGAACATCATTTTTTTAAACAACTTACAGAGCAACAAATTTTTTCTTTGGCAACTTTTTAGCAACAAATGAGCAACAAATAAAAATATTAATTAGAATTGATTCTGCTCATTTTGTTCCGCTAACTTATAAGACGTCATTTGTGGGGCAGAAGCAACCGCCGCGCGATGTTTCAAACTGTGTAATGCAAAAATGACATTTTTATATGATTTTTACTTTAAATAACGATTTTGCAAATTATAAAATGTTACAAGGTCAACATTAATCCCTTCTTTTTCATATATGTATAATACTTACTTTTATGAATTTGTTTTATAAATTTTGTTTACATCGATTGCATTTACTTAACCAAAGCAGCTCACTGAGAGCGCAACTGTCAAAGCTGTCAAAAGCATGGCGTGCACTTTCCGAAGCCCGGAAGTATCCCTCGAATGGCGGCGACCAATACGCGGCCTGTTGACCTGTTGTCCGATTCCTTACAAGAGTATCTCTAACGGTGTGTAGCTGTAGTGTCTCGCGATAAGTCACGCGAAGCTAAAGTTCGCGCGTAGCGACAGCGAGGCACCTCGTGTATATTCACGCGAATCGACTAGTTGAGAGTACTTGAGATTATTAGATTGCAATAATCGCTGAATGGATCGAGTTTTTACCAGGCTTAATCGATAGCTTGAGTTTGATTTATATAAGAAAAGTATCTTTATTTTCATTCTATATAGCCTAATAAACGGAGATTTACGATGCAAAGTCCAGAACAGAAAATTTACGATTAAGAAACGTGTTGGTCTCCTTGGTCGTTTCCGGACAAATGTACGTTTCTCATTTCTGCCGCATTGCAATAGCGGCGCTCGTTTACAGTAGCGGCGCTCGTAGTTACAGGCTTACAGGCTAGGCTGTCCGATCACTGAGGGTGCGAGCCCATGCAACGGAATAGCGTAACGCGGAACAAGAGCGGAACCAATCGCGAGAGTTCCGCAGTTTTCGCTACGTGGATTCCAAGTCCCTACATCCCCATGGAGCGTAACGAGCGCACCGCGGACCAATGCGTAACCAATCACGAGTCATTATTTTAAAAGGGTTAAAACCGCGTTGAAACTTATTTAACTTATTTAACATTTTTAATATTTCCAATAAGAACGCATTCATTTCAATATTGATGTACATGATAATAAAAAACGACCGATAAAAACAATGTTTAAAAGTCATTTTAGAGACGTTCTGCTCGTTCTGCTTGCGCTCATTCCGCTCCATGGGGATGTAGAGACTTGAAATCCACGTAACGAAAATGACGGAACTGTATGTATGTACACACATACTTTGTTAAATTGGCAGCGTCAAGCAACGTGGTCAATACAGAAACAGAGATAAATTATTAATTATTACAAGTTATTACTCATTTTTGAGAGATAAAGGAACATTTTGAAGTTAGCTTTTACTACCATGTGTATATGTATAGATGTGTATGTACATTATGCGATCTGCGAAACCTATTCCTAGAAACTACTGAAAACGGAACGAAATTGCGGAACGCTCGTGATTGGTTCCGCTTTCGTCCCGCGTTACGCTATTCCGCTGCATGGATTTGCACTCTGACAGTACTGTATCTAAGCATGTCATCATCTTTGTGAACGTGAACAACAAAGATGACTATATGCTGGCAGTAATGCTATTATTGAATTAATAAGATTAGTATGTAATTATTTCATGCGTTAAGTTAGATTCGAGATTCGATAATTTAAGATAAAGAGATATGTTTTCAATTCTGGCCACTTGTATATTGTAGATAGATATATATAGATATTTTATATTAAATATATTTTGATGTAATGTATAATTCTCTCTCTCTCTCTCTCTCCCCCTTTCCCCCTCTCTCTCCGTCTGTCTCTGTCGTTCTCATTCTCCTCTCTCTCTTTCTCACTCTTTTAGATATACTATTTCTGAACAAAAAACCACAGATTAAATATATAAATATGAATATATAAATTAGATATAAATGAATGATGTAGAGAATTAATAAATAAATATGCATTTCTAATATACTCATTAATCTCAATATTAAATATTTATTAAATTAGTATTTAATAAATGTACACAATATTATGATTTATTTCCAATATTAAAAGAAGAAATATATCCAATAATGCAAAACACAGAAAACAAAAAAAATTGATAAAATTAAAACTTAAAAATTAAGATAAAAAATTAAAAATTAATACCTTCTAAAAATTTATATCTTCTAAACCAATGCCGTCCGCTTGATTCTTGCGGGGAATTATTCAGAATACTCCTCTCTACTTATTTAATAATTTACAAAATTATAAAAATCGGGGGTGTCTCCCTATCTCTATATAATTACCCAAATTTTAACTTTAAATATCTCAGAAATTATAAGAGACCGCCGATTAAGTTATAAGGAAAAGTTACTCAGGGTCATGTCCTTGACAACATATGTCAAGGGCAAAGTCATCGGCGAGATGTGACCGTAATATGCATATTTACCATTTTTTTATACAGGGTACGGAAAAAATACCGGAATCCTAAAATATCTCGATCATCAAACGGTGACACCCATTTGACCTTGGTAAAATGAGGTACTTCTTTAGATTTGTCTTCCTACAAAAAATCAAAGAGTAAAAAAAATTTTGCTGACTGTTAGTAGTCTTTAATGGACCTTAAACTATGAGAAATTGAGGCCGGTTGCTGAAAAAAAAATATTTGGTTTCCGAGGATAACAAGGTTTTCTGGAGAAGTCAAAATACCCGGTTTTGCCCTACCGCTAAGGTAAAATCGGGTATCCATTTGAAAACATGTAAAATACCGTGCAATTACAAAATCTAGATTTATTTTAATCAAAATACAATACAAAGATATATTCTATTAACAAAAATCACAAATAAAGATATCCTCTTGTTCTACATTGCTGCAGGACTTTCTTATTTAATTTTTTAACTTTAGAGGTCTCAAAAGGCTTTTTTTAGTGGTTTCTTTTTCTGAGTGGTAGTTTTCGTTTCCAACTGCTTTTTGTAGGGAGACAAAGTCAGGACAATTTTTCCCTTTTTTATGGTTTTTCATGAGGTGTGTAAGTACCCAGTTTTGCCCCAACACAAAGAAAATAACAAACACGGCGGCTGTATATTCCGGCGTACAAAGTGACGATCAAAACTAATGTGATATACTTTCTAAAATATACAGAATGCAATGCTGCATTTATCGAAGCAGATTCTTTATGTAGAAAAAGTCCATAACGACTCGAGTGTTGCCCCGATATCGATCTTTTTTGGCCCGAAAATTTTGAATTTCTCTCAAAAAAGAAATATCGCGTACACGTGGGCACAGTTCATCTCAAAATAATAATGGCATTAATCTACAACTAATAACACGAGTTAGCCAAAGATAATAGCACTTATCACGAAGAAACAGGGGTACCCGGTTTTCCTCTTCTTTTCCCTATATATAGATAATTACGAAAATATATTTATCAACAATTTTGCATCTAAATTAGTCGCAAGACATAATGAATAAGATTGTGTGAAATGGAAGTAAAAAAATAAACTAATTAACGATAAATAGATAATTGGAACTTTATTTTCTTTAAAAGTTTTTTATGAAAAATGCTAATTTTCTTGAGAACATTCTTGATATATCATTTTAATGAAAATTTTAAGATTTTTTCTCGATAACTGGTATAATTTTTTCGGAAGTCTTAAAACAAGCATTTCACATTCAGACAAAGCAGCGAATAATTAATTACATTCTTTTTCTTGCTTTCAGGTGATGGAGGTGGCACAGGCGGAGATGGCGATCCTATCGTCGGCAGCACTAATTCCGAGAAGAAATCAGGATATGAGACCAATCTGTATCTCTATAGTGTAAGTACAACAAGTCTAACAAATTTAATCTCTCTCTTGACGAGTTTACTTTTAATAATCTTTCAAATGTACATACATTTTAATTTGAAAATTAAGACATGGAAAGAGAAAACTTTCTTATTTTATCTTAAAAGGAAGATAATGCATACACACACATTAAACGTTAATCATTTTCTTAATTACTATGTTCTTCCAAGGATATAGTATTTATTATGAAAACAACGATCTCTATATAAGCAGAATTAGAGTCAAAGATTATTCATCGTAAAATTAAAAAGATCAGACTCTCTCTCTCTTTCATTACAAAACTATATTTATCTCTATATTTCACTATATTTTATTACTATAAAATTATATTTTTTTATGAAAACTTCAGCTAAAATTTTAAAAACGATAAATATCCTCCTTGTTAATATCTAATCCCACTAAAAAAAACTCACAAAGCTAAACAAAATACGCTAATTGTAAGTACATATCTAAAATATAACTTATAAAAAATTTTCCCCTACAAAATAAAAAACCACTAAAAAATAAAAAATAACTAAATATGAAATCAATAATTAAAACTAGCCAAGTTAGAAGCAATTCAGTTATGAGGATTTGTAATTTGAAATACTATTTGTCATAAAATCAATCTCATATTTATAGAAATGTTACAGATAGATTCTCTCCATAAAATTAAAACACATTTTATTTTTATTAACAAAAACCTGATTTTTAAAATAATTTCAATGCAAATAAAAAAATAGAAAGAAAATTTAATTAAAAAAATTTGGCGCTGCTAACTTTTAAAGTATACTCCGTCCAGCGAGAGAATAACCTCGGGTCGTAACCTTGTCCGTTTCGCGCAAGTCTCCACCCACAGAACGCATAGAAAGCTCCCACCACATAGCTGTATCGTTCATCCAGCTTGCCAATGCTAGCAACAAGTGACAGGTCCCCCCGACCATTTGACATATTGACAGTTGCAGTTATTCAATCTCAAAATAACCCTCGAACGGTTTGGTGCAGTATTAACGAGTATTTTTAGTGTTTTTCTGCCAAAAAAGTATTTACAAAGTGCGATGGAAGAATTGAATATTGAAGTGCCATTAATGTCATTTCCTGTGAAGAAAAATAAACAAGGCCAAGTAAACAATGATGAATAAAAATTATTAATCTATTTGTAGTATATCGGAGGCTGTAGTTTTAAAGTTTAAAGTGTCCTTTTTAGTATGAGTTCACTGCGAGAAAAATATGTTGAAATTTAATAAATTGTTTGAATAAGGCTATATTGGTTATAAGGTCTATAAGATTATATTTTTCATTTATATTTTCAGTCGATCCACAGCAGTCAGACGTTTATTGTTATTAATTCACATAAAAAATTGAAAAAAGACAATCCAGAAATTTCAAATAAAGATGCTGTTACTCAATTGACAGAACAGACGGGTATTATTGGTATTTCGAGCATAAAAAAATATTGTTGGAATATAATAATTATACATGTAACAGGTACGGTTACATCTCCAAATAAAAGGAAACGTCGCCTATCTTTCAAAGAAAAAATCGACGAATGTGATAAAAATGTCATTCGGAGAAAAGTGCACGGATTTTACATCAATAAAGAATTACCAGCGTTGAACAAAGTTCTGCAAGCTGTAAACGCTGACGAAAATCTTCCAAATTTTAAACGATCGACTTTTCATTTATTGTTAAAAGAACTAAATTTTGCAAATACCACCAGACACCGCAACAGCATTTTAACAGAGAGAGAAGATTTAATTATTTGGAGGAGAAATTACCTGAGGGCAGGGCTATAAAGAGATACCGGCAGAGGAGCGGCAAATTTATTATCTGGACGAGACTTGGGTTAGCGCCAGTGACGTCACGAATAAAGTTTGGATGGATAAAATAATTAAATCCAAGAAGGACGCATTTCTCCGAGGATTGATAACGGGGCCAGCTTTTCCAAGCGGAAAAGACAAACGATTAATTGTTTTGCATATTGGCAGTGCTGCTGGTTTCGTTTCTGGCGGGCTTCTATGTTTTGAATCGAAGAAACATACGGGGGATTACCACGACGAAATGAACGGCGACACATTTCACGAATGGTTTAAAAATCTTTCGCCATCATTAGACGATAATGCTGTTATTGTCATGGACAATAATCCATATCATTCCGTGAAACTGGAGAAACTGCCGAATACTTTTTGGAAAAAAGCCGAAATAATACAATGGTTAGAAGATAAAGGAAAAGAAATATCAGAGTCTATGGTAAAGACCGAACTCTTGCAAATTGTTGCACAACAAAAAAATAAATTTGATAGATATGTCATAGACGAAATGACAAAAGAGGACAACAAAACGGTTCTAAGATTACCTCCGTATCATTGCGAACTTAACCCGATTGAAATGGTATAGTCAATGGTTAAGAGATACGTTAAGAGTAATAATAATACTTTTAAAATTTAGGACGCGTCAAATTATTACTTGAACAAGGTGTTGATCGGGTTACAGCTGAACATTGGATTAATTTTCTTAAACATGTTAGAAATGAAGAGAAAAGGATGTGGGAGATCGACTATATAGCCGATAGAATGATTGACGGGATATCTTCATTAATAATTAATGTCACAGGCAAAACAGATTCAGAAACCTTTAATAGCGATTAATAATTCTGTGTCAATCTGTATGTTATTATAATTTTATATCATCTTTGTATATTATTATTACTTATTTCATATTTATATTATTATTTATTTTGTATATTATTATTATTTTGTTCACACATTATTACTACCTATTTTATTCAAAAAATTATTATTATTTATTTTGTTCACACACATTATTATTATTATTTTATGTTCATATTCTGTATATTTACGTATTTGATAATATTCTGTTGACTTACTTCGGAAAGAATATACCTTATCCGTTCTGTACAAAACTATCAAAATAAATATATATTTGATATTAATCTCACTCATTGCGTACTCAGTTTTCTTTTATATGCATGCCCAAAACCTAAAATCTTCCATAATATAAACGATCCCTAATAGAAATATTAAGGATTTAATGATTTCGTAAATTATAAACATTCAACTGTGTAATTTAAATATATTACAACTCTTGCTCTTATAGTTGCCTGTCATATTATTCCTTATTTTAATTTCGTATCGCGTGGAAGAATCAGATTTCGATTTTATATTACATTGAAATTAATCGAAATTATTTCATCCGTTTAATTTTTTAAACTGACATGAGATAATAGTCCTGAGCCCGAGGGAGCCGTATCTACGTATAAGGTATTGAGTATCTCGCCATGTTCTCTAGGCTTTGCCCGCCTATGCACGGACCGAGGTTATTCTCTCGCTGGACGGAGTATATATGTTAAAACGAACAAACAATAAATTTAATTTAGATTTAAATTTAATTTAGAATTATATTTAATTTAGTTATATCACAATAACTGTGTATCACAATAACTAATGTGAATATATTAAAGAATACATTAATTTCTAGCATATTGTTTAGTTTAGCATCGCCAAGTTTTTTTATTTAAATTTCTTTTATATTTTTTTATTTGTATTAAACTTATTTTGAAAATCATTTTTGTTAATAAAAAAAAATGTGTTTTAATTCTATGGAGAGAATCTGTCTGTAACATTTCTATAAATACGAGATTGATTTTATGACAAATACTATTTCAAATTACAAATCCTCATAACTGAGTTGCTTCTAACTTGGTTAGTTAACTATTGATTTCGTATTTAATTTTTATTTTTTATTTTTTAGGAGTTTTTTATTTTGTAAGGGAAAATTTTTTATAAGTAATATTTCAGATAATTTTTCTCTATCTTTAAAATATAAGCTTGGTAATTCATGCCGACTGCCATATAAACAACATATAGTGAGTAACATACTAAGTAAGAATATCAAAACAAATCAGTGTTTGGGAATGAAATGAATAATGTTTGTATTTATATAACACGTATCTACATCACCAGTCTCAGTATGTCATATAGTCAGTTGGATAATATCAGTCAGTTGGATAATTTCAAGATTTCCTTAATTTTCAACATGCATTTCCACGAATTTATTAATTTGACATACAATTTTGATTCTTTGTCGAATCTTTTGTGTGAGAAGATCTTTTTAATAAAAAACGAGCGACGGCTAAAACCTTCTGAAGGTCACTCAGGAGGGTGACCTTGACAACATATGTCAAGATCAAAGTCATCGGGGCTGCATCCCCTAAACGTCACTTTTACCATTAATTGTAATAGAGATCGAGTTTCAGACATCTTTTAATAATTTTCGCGATTGCATATAACAAGGTACATACTATGACGACACACGGAACTATTGCCTACTCGCTCTCACAGTATGAATGGCAACAAGGTGAGACATTCTATACACAATACAATGGCGCTATATACGCCGCATACCAACGCAAGTCTTTGTTTATATATTTGACGGTACGTCAATGCGGCGTAATGAGGTATATATATACATATATTCGTTATCTCTCCCGCTCTCTCCCGCTCTCTCTCTCCCCCTTCCTCTCTTTCTCCCTCTCCCTCTCCTCCGCTCTCTCTCCCCTCTCCCTCCTTCCCACTCTCCCCCTCTCTCTCCTCCTCATCCTCCTCTCCCTTTCCCTCCCCTCCCCCTCTCTCCCTCTCTCTCTTTTTCCCTCTTCCTCTTGCCTCCCTCTTCCCCCTCTCTCTCTCCCCCTTTTCCTCTCTCCCTCCTCTCTCGACGATGGAGAAGACGTGCCAAACCTCGCTCTATAAAAATGATAATTTTTAAGTAGTAAAGAGTGAAGGAAAGTGATAAAAAGTTATTGAAGTAATAGCTGCATAGACCGGGAATAGCCATGAGTATTATCTAGCCGAAATATGCTGATTTGTGAGCGTGAAAACTACATTTCTTGTATGGGACGTCCAAGTCTCGTACGACAGGTAGACATTGAAGATGGATAAAGTGCTGACGTGTGAAAGTGGACACAAAGGTGACTG